GAAAAATGAGGCTCCAGCCTCCTGCTGTGACCACAGAGCCGTGAGCACCCTGCGCGCCCGGGTGTGACTCTCTCGGCACATTCAGACTGGCTGCTTCCAGATAATCCCCAAATATCACCACCCGAACCCTGCGGCTCAGCTCCCCCGCACCTCGCCGGGTTCCCTGCAGCTCCCCAGGTGCAGAATTGGGTTAGAAAAACCCCGCATGCTCAGGAGGCGAGCGGGGACCCTGCAGGGCACGTTCCTGGGGGGCTTCACATCCTCCCCTTGCGCTGCAGGACCAGGAGCGGGATAAACCCCTCGGGGGCCGCCTGCCATCCCCTCCTGCTGCCGTTTCGCAGCCCCGGAGCCAAAGCAGGGGCTGGAGTCAACGCAGCTGCAGGAGCAGCGCGGTTCAGGGCTGAGCAGGAGGGGATCCAGGTGGTGTTTTGTAAGATGGCTGCGCCGTCAAATCCCCGAGCCCCATACACGGCCTGATTTTAAGGCTGATCTCCTTCCCTCCACCGCGCAGCTTTGGCCTCTGGGTATCAGATGTAAGGGAGAATCGCTCCTGCATTAGCAATCGTTACAGCACTCCCCTGGCTCCCAGCGCAGGCAGCGGTGTCCTGCTGGGACAGGGGAGAAGGAGGCCGGGTCTCCACATCCCACCCGCTCTCCACTGCTCCATAGCCCCCGGCAGCCCCCAGCAGCTGGCAGGGAAAGGGAAGCTGGGGACTCAGCGCTGGCAGGGGAAAGGACCCCAGGCTCTGATAATACAGACAGCGGAGACTTCAGACTGGGGAAAGGGAAAAGCTCAACGGGATCAACCTGCAAGAGGGATTTTATCTTTTAAAAATGCATCCTGCTCCCCAAAGCACTCAGCTCCCCCCTGCCCAGAGCCACGCAGAGGATTCGGGATCAGCAAAGCACAAGGGCAGAGCCCCTTCTGCTCCCAAATGAAACAAAGGCCCTCAGCAGCTCCCTGGCTTAAGACCCGACATTAAAGCCTTCCAATGCTTCCCATGCTGCAGCAATTGGGTTTCTTCTACTCCCAAAATCTCCCTTCCCACCAGCAGGCTGGGGTCTGGCTCCTGCAGGCAGCCAGACACGGTGCCTTGGGGCTGGGGAACACCAACCCTGCTTCCAACAGGAGGAAAGAGTCTCGACAAGAAGAGATGTGGCACTTGGAGACATCCACAGAAATAAGTTTATTTCCCCTACCGTCAGGATTATGAAACCACAGAAGCAGAGTTTAAATATTTACAAAGTAATCCAGCGCCCCACAGAGATCAAGAGAACAAAGGATGAGGCTACGGAGGGCTTGCCCTCGCCGGAGAGCGATGGCAAAGCCACCGAGATCAGCAACACAAGCACCTGCAAAGGGGAAAGGAAGGGAGCGTGAAACTGGGAGGTGAAGGCCAAGATGAACCCTTAATGTGGCTGCTGGAAGGGGGCACCGTGAAGTTGGGAGTGAGATGACCTCTGCAGGCACCATCCTTTGTTGTGTGAGCACAATTCTGTGTCCAGCAGCGTTGTGTGGGCTGGCTCTGTGGTACCTCAGCCCCGGGCCTCGCTGTCCCGTTCGTCGCGGTTCCTTCGGATGCCCGGAGCCATCCTCCATCTCCATCGGTGGAAGCGGGTGGGCTGTTCAGCCAGGACCTGGGCAAATCACCACCTTCCCCAGCAGTCAGCTCTGCACCCAACCGTGAGGGTCGTGAGAAGTCTCCATTCGAACCCCGGATCTGGTAAAAAGCGTTAGGAGCAAACGACAAGGATTTTCACGGTGGGGAATGGCACTCGAGACGTTTGGAGCAGGGACTGTGGCCAGCAGCCCCGCTCCCAGGCTCCTCCGACACCTCTGAGTCTCAGCTTTGGCAACGCTTGTGTAGCTTATTGATAAAACACTGCATCGACGTGAGACGGGCCTAAGTCTCTAGGTTATTGCTGCTGTGTAAGACAGGTTGGCTTCAGCCCTGGGGCCAGGGACTCCGAGCACATCCTTGGCAGGTCGCTGAGAAATCAGACTTAAATTAAAACCAGAGGCAAAGGACTAAGTGCTACCATTCAAGTGGCTCATCCTAGGGCACGTCAGCTGGCAGTGACACAGGGTAGATGGGTAAGACACCAACCTTGCATCGTCAGGTTCTCTCTGATCAAGATTTTGGCTTTTTAATCAGCCCCAGCACCCCCCAGCCCGCTCTCCACGCAGGCTTGAAGTGACTGAACGGAGCAGACAGAAAACTACTTCACTTCTAGGTAATGGGGACAGGCACTGAGTGCTGCACACCTTCACCCATCCCGGAAAGGCCAGCACCAGATGACAGAGACAACTGGGTGCCAGGGAGAAGGGAGAGGTTTAAGGGGTTATTTAGAAGCGAGGAAAACACAGAAATCAAGAGGTCTGAGAGGAGTCCCCAAGCCTCCCGCGTGGCCAGAGGAGTTCAGGAGATGGAAGCAGATGGAAAGGCACACGGGGACAGGTCTGAGGGCCAGCACAGTGATGGTGAACAGGCTTCCCAGTCAGAGGAAGGGATGGCAGGCGGTGGACAAGAGCTTTCTTAATGGCCACGAGCACTCAGGGTTGAAATCCATCAGGTAGAGGAGTAAAGAGCTGCCCTTTCATGAGAGGAAAAGCCATCCTCCTTCCTCTGCAGCCAGAGGGGATCTGCTCAGCTGCACACAACCCTTCTGCAATGGTTTTTTTGTAAAAAGCCACCTGGCTCAGAGCCCCACAGAAAGCAGCATCTGCCAGATGCCTCAGCAAACACAGGCCTGGGCCTCCCACCCTGGAAGAGGCTCTGGGTCGTGTCCAAATTCACTCCCTGCCTAGCACTCAAGAACAACCTACCCCCTGCTACCCATCCTGCTCAGGCCAGGGCTCAAAAGGGGCCACCAGCCCCCCAGTGCTGCCAGACCAGCGTTTCTGACATCAAAGCCAGCTCTGCAAAGCACTTTTACCCCAGGTGTGCTCTTCAAAGCACGGTAAGGAAGTAAACAAGTCCTTCTTGTTCACTGTTCTGGAACCAGCTGCAAGAAAGTCAGTGTTGTCCCAGTTCTCTGCTGCAAAGCCCAGCCAGAAAATGGATGTTGTCCAGCCCCTTCACCTTTGCTTTAAACCTCTGATGGCCCCAGCAAGCTCAGGTCTCGGGTGCTGCTCTCACAGACGCTTTCAAAACCCTGTGCTATGCCTTCTGTCCCAGAAACGAGTACCTGCTGCTGCTGCCACCTCTGCGGGCTCAGGTACAACGTGACACACAAGTAGCAGGGATCAAAGGAAAGTAAGTAACTCGTGAGAGGTGTAACAACGATTTTAGGTACTCGGAGCACAAGGAGAAGCAGGGAAGCTGTATTTTCTCTGGCACAAGCTACAAGGGACTTAGCAGCAGACTCCCAACTCTGCAACAGGCTCCGAGCCGTACCCAAGCCACTCCATCGACGTTCCTGCCTTTCTGGGCTCACCAGCAGGAGCAGATGAGCTTGCCCTGCCACAGGGCGCTCCTCTGCGTGTCCCAGAGCAGCATCCCACCACCAGCACCTTCCTGTCACTACAGGGGAGACCATCAGCGAGCATCCCACACCCTCAGGGGGAACCCCACACCTCCACTTTGACACGTGTGCTACAGCAGAGTCGTAGGAAACAACAACTCCTTCTTGCAGACAGAAAATCCCAGGGAGCGGCTGACGAAGCCTGCCAAGAGGAAGAAACCAGGCGATCACAGAGAACCTTCCAGGGTTTATCCTGAATCAAGAGGAAGGGTTTGCCTTGTGGCTTTACTTTGCGCTGAAAGCAAAGGTGCCCACACCTCTCCTTTCCTGACTGCGTTTCTACCAACCAAGCTGCAGAAAGGGAGTGCATTCAGGGAGAGAGCAGGAGGCTTCGGGACCCCTGACACCATTGACAGAACAAAAACAGGAGGAAAAGAAGCCAGTTCCAGGAAACAAAGATGAGCTGGTACAATGGAGTGGAGTTGCCACCTTCCCTGGAAAATGCCTCCCAGAGTCCCACGCCTCAGCTCGCTGGATCAGTCCCAGTTTCTTCCTTCGTGTGCCCAAGGGATGAGGAGTCCACAGCTGCCATCACCGCAAGTGAAGCGTCAGAACAACGGTCACGATCACCCCCAAGAAGAGGAGGAAGGGAAGCCAGGTCTTCACAAATCCCCCTATGCTGCAAGGTGGAAAAAAAGGGGGTGGGTTTAAACATGAGAAGTCAGCAGAGAAAGGCAAAACTGAGAGAAGGATGTGATCCTGGAGATTCAGTCCATGCTAAGAACTGAGACTAAATCAGGTTCACAAATAACTACGCCATGAACAATAGGGCTGGACTCCCAGCTTTAAATTCAGGTGGAAGACTAGCACGTTTCATACCTGCACAGACAGGAGTGGTGACAGGAGACCACAAAAATGAAACCCCATTACCCTGGTGTGTTTAATCAAGGCACCAGGGACTACACTTGCCTAAAAGCTCTTCCAGAAGAGGGAAGACCCAACAGAAGTGGAGCAACTCAAAAGCTTTTTGCAAGGCACTCGTCACAGAATCCTCTCTTGAGGCACAAGGAGCTGAAATGGAGATTGAGTGCCCTTCCCAGTAAGAAAAGCTCAGGGATTCCCTCTCCACTCTCATTGGAAGCTCCACACCCGTTGGGAATCTGACTTGCTCGTGTGTAAACAAGATTAAAGAGAGGGAAGAGAAACCAGCAATCCTTGGAGACAAGCCATTCTGTGACCTTATGTTCTGACCTAACCCAACCAAGAGACAACACGGAGAGAGATTTGCTTTAGCTAGCATTTCTCAAATTCCAGGCACCCTAAATCTGCTGCCAGATAAGAGTATTTTGGGAGCAGCATCCAGTGCAACCCAGCAAGCGGCCTCGGTTCTGTTCCTAAGAACAGGCAGCAGGCAGTGACAGCACCTTCTACCAGCAACACACACCCACATACTGTGGGGGAGAGATGTTTCTCCCTTCTCCACGGGACAGACTTGAAGCTTTGGAGGGCTAGAGAAGGCAAGAAAGAGCCCCTTTGCCTCCTGAATCTGGACTGCTCCTCAGCTCACCTTACGTACTTCCCATACAGGAGTGAGAAGAAGCAGAGCTTCACCATGTTCCAGGAGGTGCTGTTATCGTATCTCATCAAGTTTAAGGCCAGAGCTACATGAGAATGGCAGTTATCACAGCAAAGGTTGTGCTGGAACAGAAAAAGGGGCACAGCATTAGAAATCCTGCCCCTGAGCCACCCCCCAGTCCTGCACCCTGTGCTGGTGCAGACCCTCAGGTCCCACTCCCGCAGCAAGCACCCACACACTGCTGCACACCCTCCACATCAGCAGCACGGCCGTACCATTCGGTGCTTGTACTCCTCCGAGGCATCGTGCACGGCCGTGTCCCAGGCATTGGGCCCACTGGAATACACTTTGCTGGGATCCAGTTTCCAGTACCTAGAAGGAGGAGAACAGATCCCTTCACATCTTTATAACTTCTTGTTCTTCCCAGCTGGAAGCTGCTTAAAGGACTTAAGAGAAATCCACTACCTCTGCAGACCACAGAGCCGAGCTCTTTGAGTCAAGCGTACGCTGCAGAGAGCGGCAGAAAATACAGCGCAGCACCCTCAGCCCGACAGCACCCAGAGAAACTGCAGACCTTGGGGACACAGACAAAACCCTGAGCTGCTCTCACATCCCGTGACGTGAAACCTTCCGGCCACTGAAAACGTAAACCCGATCTGACAGACACACAAAACCCAGGCACCTCTCCTCCTCCCCCCAGAAAATCATTAACGGGATGCGAGTGACGACAGTTCGTTAGTGCAGCGCAGGCAGAATTTACTTGGAGCACTGGTTGTTAACATTATCTTAAAACATTTTAGCCTTTGCTTTCTTTTTTTTCTCCTCCAATACAGGCTCCATACAGCTCTAGTTATTAATACCACTACATTGCTGTCACGGTTTCTTGAAGAGCAGAGACACAGCGGCCATCCACTCGGATTAGGGCAGCTGAACAAGCAGCAAAGCAATATCAGAGCACGTCTGTCTCCGTGAATTAAAGGACATCTGCGGGTCAGTTGGTTAGTTTAATAAAAACTAACAAGAGCACTTACTTCACTGGCTTCCCAAATGCCATGTTGTCTTCCTACAAAAGAGGAAACACGTCTCAAGAGGATAACCCCGCGCAACGCTCACAACACGCCTCTTCTGCAAGGCCTCACAGCCCGCCACGGCCTGGTGATAAAACTGTCCCCTTGCCGCAGCAGTCTCAAGACACCAACCTTACTTGTGTGCCTGGCTTTAGATTTCAATGGTTTTCATGCTCCTGTTGTGGGCACCAGTGTATTTATACCCTGTATGTGGTGACATCACCAAGCTACATGGTATATGCACCTTGTACCCTGCTTTGGCTTGGGTTTTTTTGCTCCACTGTTAACATTTCATTAATTCGAAGTTGTAAATGTCCCAGTCTATTAAGAGTATTAATTATCCCAACTGAAAACTCTTACTTTCAAAATCCACCAGGCTCTAAAGCAGCTTAAAGACCAGCACATACCTGCTGCTAAGCAGCACGATGGTAACAGGCATGCTGAGGAGGCTGGAAGGTGGGCTACTCTTCTGTTACTCAGAACTAAGAGACTTTAGGTCCAACATTCCCAATTGAGCACGGACTACAGGATTTTTCCCCTTCTGCTCACCAAACCAAACCAAACCAGCCACCATCTGTCACATCCCCAAAACGTTCTTCACGTCGCAGAGATCCGAGCTCTTCAGACACATCTACAGCCACGACTCTGCAGAACTTTGAGCTGCAAAAGCCAGGGGGTGGCTCAAAAGTCCCCAGTGAAGGCGAGAAGGAGAGCAAGCACAGATCCTGCTTCCACACCCGGACCCATCGACACTTACCGAGACAAAGTACGGCCCCGCAAAGTCCCGGATGACGCCCGTCGACGTGCAGATCCCCATGTGGCCAATGATCGGGAAAAGCCATCTACCAAGGTGAGAAGTGAACAGGCAGGCTGAGATATTTGCCCCCAGATCACACAGAGCGCGTGCAACGTGGTGCCAGGAGGTTGCTGGAGTGGCCACACAACCAACTGGGCAGCACGGGACAGACAGGCGCAGTTAGGGTGTTATACACAGCTGGGAGATGAGGGGAAGCTGTGGGGCTCTGGGATTTTGGCGTGGGCAGCAGCAGTTGCAGAGGGTGCAGGGCTCCAGAGACGGCACCACACACGTCCCTGGGCAGGGAAGAGCAAGCCCTGGTCTCCCAGAACAAACCCATTTGTGTATCTGAGTAAAAAGGGCAGATCTGGGAGAAACTGCTTTGCAATAAAGGACTTTCCACTTCAGCAACTGAAAACAAGGTCATCTTCCCACCCACACTGCAGCTCTTCACAGCAAACTAGATCTAAGCACGCCAGACAGAAAATGGGGCTCCTGGCTCCAGGAAGAGCACTCCCTCCCCAAAATGATCCCAGTGCTTCAAAGACCTTCTCCTCCCCGCTGGGTACCCACAGCCCCAGGGAGCAGCAGGTCTATACCCCAGCCCCCTTCCATCATCATCGCTTAGAAGTAAATCCTTCAGGCCAAGCTGCAGCTCTCCCACATCTGCCAGCACTCTCAGGTTTACTGACCTTGCTCCAATTTCTCCCTCCTCTCCCTGAGGAAACGCAGCAACCGATACTTCAGAAGAGATTACAGCAACGCTAAGCAGAAACTGATTCGCAAGCCACGACTCAATTAGAGACCCTAAACCTATCTGAAAATGAAAAGGGACCGAGGCGGTTGGGTGTTACAAAGAAAAATAAGCCACGCACGCCAATAAGCACGGCTGAGGCTACAAACGCCACAGAGCTCCTGTGGAAAACGTAACACTATGATGTGGAGAAAGGGCTCTGCGAAGTTTGGTGTCCTGCGCTCGCGTTGCTTGCCCTCTGTGTCTGCAAAGCAGCCAGACTCTGCTCCAGCAGCCACGGGGCACGGCTGAACAGAAAACGCTGTCGCAGCGCTGCCACCTTCAAAGGTCTCGACACTTCTGTGCTTTAATTCTCCTCTCAGCACTCCTCAGCTTTCAAGCCTCTAAATCCAAGGACGACAGGAAACGTCAGAGGGAGAGAATGGAGCCATTATGCAACCTGAAGAGAGATTTTTGCCAAACACCAGCACTGACGTTTCTGCTGCAAACCAGAATCACCGGGAAGACGTCACTGTTCATCGGGGAATGAACCCACAAACAGGGATGCCCCGTGACTCTGGCAGCAGGACAGCTCTCCACACCAGCCCCAGCAGGAGGTACGAACGTTAAAAGCTTTGGAAAAGCCTCCAGGAATAGACTAAGGTGGAAATTTGAAGCAATCAAAAAAGAAAAGCAGTAAAAACCAAAGCTGGTTGTTCATGGCATGCGAGGCAGCACTAGGAAAGTTGTGGTGCCATTCCCAGTCCTGGCACAGAGCACACCACGTCTTCTACCTGACTTTCAGCTCTGGCTCAGTAAACATCATCTCCTGATGTGAACCGAGGGGAAGAGGAAGGCATAAAACAAAGTCTCTGTGTTCCCAGACTGCCCCCAAAGCCACGTTTTACAGCTTTTCATTTTCCCACGACCGCAGAAAAACTCAGAAGTTCTCCTTGGAGCCTGCTTATGCTTGGCTGACAACACTGGGAAGGCAAATCAACTTTGAGCTCATTAAAAGCAAAGCGCAGAGGCTTCTCCTCAAGGCATGAGGTGCTCCGAGATCCCCACAGCCAAACCTTGGCTCCAAAACCATGGGAGCCTTCCCACGCCTCGCTGGATCCCCTCTGCTCCTTCCGAGACGAGCCCGCTCACGGCAAAGACCTTCCCCACACACGCCCTTGCTGCGGGGAGAGGAGAGCCCTGTCCCGGGGCCAGAAGTCTACGCGGGCCCCGGCGCGGCCTGGCACCCGAGCACCCCGAAGTGGGCCAAGCTGCCCCGGAGCGG